GATGTTTCCAAGGAAACCATGGCATCATTTTTCTGGTACCATCCTATAGTGTACTAGACACTGTCATCCAGTTGTCCATCAAACTTTCATGGAATATTTGTTAGTTCTTACAGACATTAGAATTTTGCATTCTACTCCAGTTCTTTTGAAATGTTGAGAATGACTTCAGGGTCAACTCAAGATATAGGATAGGAAATTCACCTTAAATAAATGTAGCAATGAAAGTCACTTTCTTCACTGGACAAAATGCCCATGTGTTGCTTGTATTCTCTACCAAAAATAAAAGCCTGAGAAATGTCTCTAGCTCATTGATAAAGAAACTGGCAGGGTATAGAAATTTTGATCTAACTAATTGTAGGCATTTTGGGTGTCTATATAAACTGACAAGGTATGCAATTTTTGATCTAACCAATTGTGATCACTTGAGTGTCTATATAAACTGCTTGTGTCTCATGAGCATATGTTCAAATTACTTGTTTGGAAATTGTTTTGTGACTGTTTGGTGATTGGGCACAATACACTTAAAATAATATCCTTGAATGTTAGAAATAAAATTATCTGATTTCTTTAATTCTTTGGCAATGTCTCTTTTACCCTTGGAAAGCTTCTCATTGGAAATTCTAGTAAGCATAGGAATTAAGTGAAACCCAAAATTGAAGATATCCAATATTGATTGAACAATTGAACTCTTCTGTGGATACTTTTGGCTGATTCATTCTTCAGCATTCATTGAGATAACTCTGTAAGAGAATATGAAACTTCTCACTTCAAGGAAAAAATACAGCAATAGAGGTCATTAATATACAATCTTTATTTTTTTTGTGTGGGGGACTCAGGTTCATCCAGACCTCAAGAACACAGCTATATGATCCATTGGTAAAGAGGTTCAAAAAATGGCTCATATTTTGTACTGCTCCAGAAAGTACCTGAATCCTCCTGCCATGCTCTATCTTTACAAGAGTCAGACCAGACCAAAAATGAAACTTTGCAAGCATAAGATCTGACCAAGAATGGAATATTGCCAGTCAGATCAGACTCAAAATGGAACATTGCCATAGTCAGACCAGACCAAAAATGGAACATTGCAAGAATCAGATCAGACCAAGAATGGAACATTGCCCAGAGTCTGATCACACCCAAAATGGAACTTTGCCAGGGTCAGATCAGACCAAAAATGGAACATTGCCAAAGTTTGCACAGACCCAAAATGGAACATTGCCACAGCCAGATCAGTCCAATAATGAAACATTGTTACAGTCAGATCAGACCAAAAATGGAACATTACTGCCATATCTAGCTGCTTAATCCTCACTTTTCAGCTTTTACTGAGCTCAAAACATTTATGCAGACTTGTAGGCAATAAATTATTTTCCACTCTCTAACTTCTTTCCCATAGATAAAACATTACCAGTTGCTACTCAGTTGCTATTTCTATGGCAAATATTCAGGTGGGCTAAATTCCTTAGTTCTACTAGTTTTAACCTTCACAGCTAAGCTCCCCATGTCACGTATACAGGGTTGAATCATCCTCATTCACTTTGTATTCCATTGTTAAAACAGACATTCCAATCAGACATTTTTTCCCAATAATGCCTACTTTGTGGAGCAGACTTCCAAGAGGACCCTTCCTTGATCCCTACAATCTGAACCTTTTCAAGTCTAGGGTCTACCATTATCTATCCTATATATCTTCATAATTTGCATTTCTTACTTTCTCTCTTTATGCTTATACAACGACCTCACTCAGTGACCCTCTACCATGAGTGTCTCTTGGGCTTTGTATTAAGTGAACAATAGTATAAAAAAGTGTCTCTTTTTTTTTTCCTCATAGAATACACCTGATGCAGGTTGAAGAATGGATCAACTGAAATATTGTCTTAACAAGAGCAAGTATATGAAGAAGAGGTTCAATTATCCAAGCAGTACTGGGCATGTTAATGAATCTTCTCAAATTTAAAGATAATATATTTCAGAATTGGAGATTTTCATTGAAATTTTTTTTTTTTTTCTCATATTCTTCAAAGCATAAGTGTTTGAGTGCCTTATTATGACATAGAAATATTTCCACAAAATCCTCTCTAAAAGAAAAAATAAATAAATATTTACTTTTTAGCTTCTTGTCAGAAACTTTGAAATAAGGAATTATCATATGGACTAACATGCTCATCTTGGTTGTTTTACTCACAATGTTTCGGATGCTGTAAACTTTGGTTTCTTCAAGTGTCAGTCTTTCAAGCAAAACCTTCCATTCATTCCAAATGAGTAGCTTGTGTTCATTCCGCTTTCTATGCTTAAGGGAGATAACTCAGTTTTATTCATCTTTATGTTGCTTGTTCAATTCTTCCACTGGGTCAGAGTATATGTTTTTTTTTGTGCTACTGTAGTATATCTACTGCCCATTTTCTACTATGGTATGATATTAACCAACTGTTGGAAGCATGAAATATGTTAAGGTTAGGGTTAAAGGTGGTGAACTGGTTATGTATTACAAATCATTAACAAATTTTATACAAAAAAATACAAAAAATCCTCAAATAGTACTATGCTTAAATTCTTAAAGTCTAGGTACCATAGCTTATCATAAATGTCATCATCATCAGTAATCTTTTAGAGAAAAAGGATCAGATTAGATTGTTCAGATACTTTTCTTATTTGTATTCTTGCTCTTGGTAACATATTATTTCAGCCAGTCTATTCTTCAGCCATTGTCAGGTGTAATCCATGAAGGAAAAAAAGGGAAGGTCCTTCTTCCAGGAAAAAATAGAAAATGATAACAGAAAATAGACAGTAACATACCAAACAGACCAATTCATTGCCACAGTGTTAGGTAGAGCAAGTACTCAGGCAATTCTAAAATATACCTGACAAGTGCTGAGGGAACTTCTCAACACTCATTTGGTTAAAGAAAGAAAATCCTTCATAGTGTTAAAATCTGTTAAATGACTGACTTAAGCTTATGCTGACAGGCAAATATATACTGTTTCTTTCAGCTTTTTAATCACCAATGTCACTTAAGAAGACCTTATTTCCAGTGATTTGAAGAGGTTTGGTGATGTTTGGTGATGCCTGGATGTTTGGTGATACCTTGATTGTATGCCCCTAAGACTCAAGTGTGGGGAGGGGGGGCTATAGGCCCTAGTACTGAGAAATGTGTGAAAGGAAGACATTTTAAATGTGTAAAAACAGATTAAATATCAAATAAACACTTTATTCAAATTAAATATAAACTAAATTTTTATTTCACTCTTTGAGTGAATCCCCGGGGGCCTTTGCACCCTCTCCCACCTTCTGCATGCTACTGCTCATGCTAATGTTATAAACAATAATCTTTTCTCAGTTCATTGTATACTCAAAAGTGATTCATAGTCATATTGTTTAAAGTTGAATTTCTATTTTGAGCACAGCTAGTTGGATTTTAATTTAAGACTTTTTAATTTAATCATTTTACTGTTGAAATTACGAGATGCAACCAGAAGTTCTCTGCTAACAGTTGCTTTTCTTGCACTTTTCACTCATGAAACTCTTGCTTTCCAGTCAACTTTGATTGTCAAAAATTTAAATGCAATGTCAGTTGTTAATTCCTGTCCTTTTATTGTTCTCTCTCCATAATAATGTTTTCTTTTTTTTTTTCTCAGATTCTTTTTCAATTAGTAACCTCTTGCATCTTAGGGGCTTTATCATCATTATCAAAGAATATTTTTCTAGTATTTGAGCAAATTTTTACTCCTCATCCTTATAGTGATTTTCTTATTCAGCTAAATGTTTTCTGCTGGCTTTGAAATATGGAAAGATTCAGTCAGTTGATTGTCTGTATTTTCAGTCTGTTTGCAAAGAGCAGTATGCAGTTAACCCAGAATAAATGTGAAAAGAAATAAACAAAGAGTAGAAAGAAAACTCAGATATTGTTACATGACTTTGGTTTGATAAATGAGAAAAAAAAAAGAAGACAATTGTATGGTTTATGATGATGTATTAATTACAATAAAGGACTTGGTTTATTTTTCTCTTGCCAAACATTTAATTTGTCAGTAATAAATATTTATCTTTTTTAATTTACTCTCATATAGTAAAATTTCTCTGACATCTTAATGACAAATATTCAATGTATTCTCATTTTTGGCCTCATGTATTTATTTCTTTACCCAAGTATGTCAAATGCTTGTGGCCATATTATGTTGAAACATTGGTTCTCATTTGATCTGTAATAAATATTTATCTTTTTTAATTTACTCTTATATAATAAAGTTTCTCTGACATCTTAATGACAAATTTCCAAAGTATTCTCATTTATGTCCTTGTAATGGAAAAGAGCTATGGAAGAAAGATTTATTCTCCCATTTGTATTTCCCCTTTTATGGGCATTATTATGTCAGAGATATAACAACACTGTATTTTACAGACAGAATGGAATAGCTGAAAAGAAAAAGGAATAACAAACATGCTTTGTACTCAGAGAAATTTTTATACTATAAAGACACACAAAACTATAAATATTCATATCTCTCACATGGATATAACTACTTAGCAAAGTAAGGAGAAACAAAAAGGAAGGGTCTTACATATAATATGGAGATACTCCTGTATCTGGAGAAGCCATGTTTAGGACACCAGATTCAATTGGAATGGATTCAATTATGTCTCAGGCTAGGATATATTCTGCAAACGGGAAACAGTGAGTATTGGGTTTTCCCAAATTGATGACTGCGAGCTGGAGTTTCATTTTATATCTGGGAAAGATATATTCTCAAAGAGAAACGGCTCTATGGACTTGTAAGCTGCTGGGGTGGCAGATTTAGCCTCTGTCCAGGCCATGATGAGTCACTGTATGAAGTGACTTCATTAACTGGATTTAGCTTCTGCCCAGGCCATGACAGTCATTTTATGAAGTGACTTCATTAATCGGATGTCATGTGACCCACATGACACCAAAGGGATATAAGCATCTTCTGTATCCCTACACTCTTATGTATTTATTTCTTTACCCATTTATGTCTGATGCTTATGGCCATATTATGTTGAAACACTAGTTCTCATCTGATCACTGAAGTTAAGCAATATTGAGCTTGGTCAGTACCTAGATGGGTGACCACTTAAGAATACCAGGTGCTCTAATCTTGAATATGATGTAGTGTGATGGTTAATGGCTCAGAATGAAAAACCAGAGAGCTGAGATCAAATTCTGGTCAGGTTCATTACATTCACTTACAAGCAAATATTCTTGGGAAAGGTATGAATCCATCTCTTCTTGCCCCTCAGCTATGGGTTAAATAGCAAAACTGATTAAGTTCTATAGCCTTGGATAGCAACGAGTCTACTGCAGAAAGTAATGGCAACCTACCATGCAAATTCTTCTGCCAAGTCAATCATGAATCAGAGAAACATGATTGCCCAATTGTGCATTATACATGACACTTACGGAAACAAGGAAAAAAAGTAAGGAAGGAAGGAATCTATGTCAACCCCTCCTACTACAGTTCAGATTTGATTCCTTGCAACTCCTGGCTTTTCCCATGGACAAAATGAAAGAGAATAAAACAGCTAATGACAGTCCTGCAAGCAGACATTGCAAACTATTTTGGCAAGTGGAATGGATGCTAGGATAAGTGTGTGAGGTCACAAAAAGATTACTTTGAAGGGGTCAAAGTTACAATTGTTCAAAACAGGCTATTTTCTGCTAACATTAATTGGCTGAATACTTTCCGGACAGACCTCATGTGGGTGCATTTATGTGAGTTGGTCACTCTCTCTCTCTCTCTCTCTCTCTCTCTCTGTCTCTCTCACTATATATATGGGTGAATACGATATACACATTTCTAAATATCAGAACAATGTTAGGCAAATCAATGACAAAGTAGAAAAAATCTGTGTAATGCATTTTGTCCTCTAGAAGAACTTCATTGGACGAAAGTAATGGAATTATATATGTGCAGGAAGAAGAGGGGGAGATATAAAATTGTAAGCATTGGTTATAAATTGTACCAACAGTAAATGCTGAAGATGTTGGAATGCTGAAATTTTTAATTTTTTTAAACATTTCTTTAGTCTGATGAAGTTCTCCCAGAGGACAAAATGCGTTAAACAGAATTTTTTCCACTTTGTCATTCATTTACTTAATATCTCTCTCTCTCTTCCTATATATATATATATATATATATATATATATATATGAATAAAGACAAAAGGAATATTTATCTTAGCTGACATGTTTTGTCCTCTGAAGGACTTTATCAAGAAGGACTTCATTGGACTCGCCTTGATAAGTTTTCCTTTTGTCATTATTTATATTGTTCTTTTACAGTCATATTGTAGTTATATCTGAATTTTTTACACACACACACACACACACACACATATATATATATATATTAAAATAAAAAATTAATATATTTGAAAGACGATATAATAAATTAAAATGACTTAATAGAAAAACTGTTTTGCTACTTGTATTGTTCTTTCATAAAATTCATCAAAGGTAAAGTGTGAAGGGATGAAATTCATTCCAAAAATAAGTTTTCCTATATATGTTTCATCTACATATCATAAATAGCACTAAGGATTTTCAATACAAATCAGTAAATCCTGCCCATAAAATCCAACAAAAATGTCGGCCCTTATAGGACCCAAAAGGATATAACAATTTCATCTATTTGTCTGTACATCATATTCTTGGAACTAAATTCCTTAGACATGGTAGCAAATTCCATGAACTCAACAAAGACACCCTCTGAAATTGGAGGGGAGAAAATTACACCAATACTGCACTCAAACTCTACACATAGTAATTTCTTCTATTTTTTCATACATCATATTCTCAGAACTAAATTCCACAGATATGGTAGCAAATCCCACGAACTCAACAAAATTGGATTGGGAGACAAATGACTACAATCTTGGAATCAAACTTTGTTTTTGGCCCAATTTTCAGATTAAACATATGCTAGCTAAATTGAATTTGTCTGTTTCTTTATTTTAAGTCATTATTTAGGTTAAAGCAAGTCTGGAACAAGGCCACAAATTTGGAATGCTGAGAGATCAAATTTGCTGTTTTACAGCTTAAGAAACATGCCAGATTTTCTAATATAAGTGTATTTTAGCTATTACTTCCCTTTGTTGACTTTCTTGCTGCCATTGTTACTATACAAAGTTTCAAAAGCTGATGATAGAAGATAATGAACATAAAATGGAAGAAAAAATATTTTTGCTTTGGGTTGTGAGATGAATGTGATAGTGTAGAACACAAGAACAAAGAGGCACTTCAACACTTTCAAGAATTTTTTTTTCTTCTTTTGACAAGAACATGATAAATCAGAAATATGTTAAGTGGTGAATCACATGTATGTTTTAGTGAAAGAATTACTTGGCATACATTTTGCCATTGAATTATTTCAACTTAGTTCATAGAAAAATAATGTAAACACACACATATATATATATATATTGTGGGAAATGAAAAATTCATTCAATAATTTTTTTTTCTGTTTAATATATAAATCTTGATTATTTTTCTTCTATATGCTGTGTTCCTTCAGGACATGAGCAACTGTGGCTCTCCCAGACTTCTTTTCTCTTGTGGCCCTTACCAGTTTTTCTCCCTTTGCTAAGGCACTCAACAATTGTTCTGCCATCCATTCACACAAACACATCAGATAGGTGACTCTGCTGACTTCCCTATTTCACTTGCCCTATGCCCTGTGATGGTTAAGTTTTCTCAGCCCTCTTTCCTCATTATGTATGCAAGGAATTCCAGCTGTCTCTCCCAGATTCTGAGTATAAGTATTTGTTGCCATTTTCTTTAAGACTTCCTTGCTGCTTACTAGCTACATCCATGGAATTTTCAGTATCCTTCTGTAGAACCACATTTTTGTTGCATAACAATATAAATGTTAATATTGATTACATTTATCAAAACATTTCAGTAGATCAATTTTTTCAGCCTTAAGATGGAAATGGCATTTCGGTAATAAATATTCTTTACAACTTTGAAAAAAGTCATTAACATTTCAAGCTTTTGTACTCCTTGGAGTTGATAATGTTACCACCAACAGTTCAGAGAATCTATCCTACTGGGGATAAGTGGGTGATTGAATGACAAAGTAAAAAAATCCTACATTATATTTTCCATTCCTCGAAATGACTTCTTCAGATGAATAATAGTTTTATCTATGAAGTCTATGGCAGGAAGAAATATAAGAAATATCAGTTACAATTTTACTTTAAGATACACAGAAAACACAGAGATGATTGGCTTCAAATTTAAATTTTTGCTATCTGAGATATCAGGATGCATAACCTAGCCAGCCTCATTCAGCTTTCTATCAATTTTATGGAAAATTCTAAAATTAGTGCACTTTCAATATATTTTTGCCATAATGAATTCCTTTCTGTCTTAAATCTGTATTCTTTAAATCAAAATTATGGTCAGACCTGTTATGAACTACAACTAATGCAGTGAATATATTGTTTTATAAATTGTAATGGTAATGGTAATATTTGCCATTTTCTTATAAGGAAACATTTGGTATTCAGTGACTGAGCAGCCAGTGCTAATGTCATTTGAAATTTATAAAATCTTTCTCTTAAAACAAATTTTTAGGAAAATAGGTTTCTCAAGTCCAGTAGCTGTTATCTTTCTATCAATTTTGTTTTCATTTTTATTACTTTTGTTTTTGAAGATCCCCCATTGTTATAGCAGTAGTTTTCTTAGAAAAGGAGATATATTGCATGATAATGGATGCAAATTACATGAAAAAATTCTAAAATTAGTGTACTATCAATATATGTTTGCTTTAGTGAATTACTTTCTGCCTGAAAACTGTATTGTTTAAGTCAAAATTAGATTTGTTATGATCAACAACTGAGTACATTGTTTTGTAAATGGTAATGGTAATATTAACCATTTCCTTATAAGGAAACATTTGGTATTCATCGACCATTAAGACAATACTACTGTCATTTTAAATTTATAAAATATTTCTCTTACGACAACTTTTCAGGAAAATAGGTTTCTCAAGTTCAGTAGGTGTTATCATTCCAAGATCCATTTTGTGTTCATGTAATCTTTTATTTAAATTCCTTGATATTCCACGTTTACTTTTCTAGTCTCCAAGAAAAAATTAGCTTGCAGGAAAAAATTCAGATCACAACATTTCCAAAGTAAGAAAGCCTCCTGAATAACCAATCCAAGCTTGTTAGGAAGTGTAGGTAAATGTAAAGTGTAGGTAGATGCAAAGTGTAGGTAAATGTAAAGTGTAGGTAAATGCAAAGTGTAGGTAAATGAAGAATTTTTTGTTGAACCAGTTATCCCCTAGCTGAGACAGAAAAAAGAAAAAGATAAACAAATAAATAAAATTAATAAATAAATATAATATAAATGTCGTCATTTTATTTTATTAAGTAAATATTCATGTACGTTTTGTTTGTGTGGGTGCAGCTACCCTCTTTTAAGGAGTCACAGTCACTACCTACATGTATAAAATGCATGTAGACAATAGAATTGAGCAATTTCTAAGGGCCTGATGATCGGTTTATCACTATGAAACTTTTAGTTCCATATGTGCTTGAAACGTTTTTAGTAAGATCAGCAAAAAATGTAATATTTACCCTATATGTCTGAAAGATATTTAGCACTGTATTTTAAAAATCAATGTTAACCTGTGTATAATTGAAATAAATTAATAAGTAATTAAATTAAGTAAATAATAAACAAATTAACAAATTATGAATGCACACATAAACACAAGTGAACATAATGATAATAATAAAATAATAAATAGTAAATAAAAAGGTTAACACACAACACTATAAAATAGGCACACAAATGCACCTAGATCCAAAATTATTTCTACTCAAAAGCTCATAGAATAATTTGAAACATAACCAATCACCCAAATAACCATTAGAATAATACAATAGGCTTACCCATAATGCATCACTGACCTGTATATATAAATAGTTGAGAAAAAACTATTCACACATGGCCTGACTTGCGTGCAACTTCTGTCAAACTCTCTGCCGAATGGCAAAGTTTCATCCAGGGAAGTAGACAGGTCCCAAACCTGCAATATTTTTGGCCGAGCCTACAGGCTCGGAGAAACCCATGTTAAACTCG